CTCTCGCCTTTTATCCTCCCTTTCACACCTCAGCTCCGTAAAACTCCGCCATTTTGTGTGCTCACTTCCGTTAATGACGCGCGCGGGAAACGTCACGCCAGCGTGACGACGCTCTCGGCGCCATATTGTCTGCTGTGCTCGTCTGACTGCTTGCCTGCCCGTTCGCTCGCTCGCTGCTTACCAACTCTCGGTCCGCGCTAGCCAGCATGGAGCCGTGATTTTTGCTCGCCTTTCTCTTAGCGACTTGACCGTGCCTTTTCTCGGTATTACGATAGCATATGCTACGCTGAATTTCGTTCTGTTCATTGAATCGCAATCGAACCCATCGAAGGAGCGTTAAAAGAATAGCAAACACGACTCGAGTTACGATGTTTTCTCGTGTGGCTGAGATTAGGCGTGTTATCTAGGTTAAATCGTTGAAGACCTACGTCAGACTTCGCATACGGTACGATTCTTGAAAGTTTGCCGTAGACGAGCGCCAACTCGGCGACCGTCGTCTAGGAAGTTTTATTGGCATCGAATAAGGGGAAAGGCCGGTGAGGTAAGGGGATTTTGCCTTCCAGGAAAAATACTCGTGGCCGTGTCAACTTTGCTGGTATTGGTAATCTCCTAGGGTCGAGGAGCCGTTCCTATTATAGCCCCAGTGGGGTAATGCGATCTGTATTGTTCTTTGCTGGTTATTACCAGACCATTCTACCGACTTACCGTTACGAGTCACTGTTGGATAGTTATTCATACTTTTCGTCCTGTTCTTATTTTTCATTTCTCGAATGCTCTTATCCACTTCTAGTTATCTCTGAATGAGATTTCGAAGCGTGCATGCGGATCACACGTTCCTTGCATATACATACGTAGTGGAATGAGATCATGTTGTTTTTGTGGCGTGAGCCGACAGTTAATATGTTTAGCTTTACGCGCGGTTGCCATATCGCTGAGCCGCACGTAGGCCGCAACGTATACGGACGTGGAGAGACCTGCGAGCAATGACGCAAGCCGCGTGTTAGTAACTATATACTTTGAAGAAATAAGAGCGAGCGAGACAATTCGCATAGAAAGAAACGAACCGAGGCCTCGTAAATTTCCACGATTCGCGCCACCAGCAGAAACTGAGACCCGTCCGATCCTTCTGTCGTTCCACGAAGGAGCACCCTATTGCATTTCTAAGAATCTTGCTGGTTATTCTCGCTCCGTCGATTATACCGATTCCAAACTTTCCTAAATAACATCTGACAACTACAAACGTTGTGCCGAGTGGATACCTGACTGAATATAATTTGACCTTCGCATAGTTTTATAAGTATATATCATCGTATATATCATTTTGTATTTTATGCTCGTTATAAAAAGAATGAGGTTTCATTTCCTTTCGTTTTATGAAATGTCAATCATCAAACTTTTTGCAATCAAATTCTTTATTTAATCGTAATCAAACTCTGTCCGTTCATTAAAAAGAACGAGCGATCATGAATATCGGTAACAGGCATAGCAGTAGCAGACCGGCAGTCGCCTAAGTACGCCACGACGGCTGACACGTTCATCGGATTTGTCCTTGAGGCCGAAGGTAGGTGCAGCTCGAAGTCCGAGGACGTGGCAACGCAGCGGCCAGGCTCCCCCTCCTTTGTCCGTCGGCCGGTCTTGCCAGACAGGGTGTCGCCAGCTCGGTCGGACGGGCCGTCCGGATTGCTGTGAGGGGAGAGGGGAAACGAACAACCCGATGGTGCAAAGGGGCAAGGGGATTCTGTGGGTTAGTGTCAGTATAAGCGTGTGACGGAGCAGGCATTAGGGGAAGGAGCACGTTATGAGAGGGAATCGTTCCGAACAGATTATACATGCGAAACGAAGAGAAACAAGAATAAGAAAGAGAAAGAAAGAGGAGATCTTGTAGTTTGTAAGGTCGAACATGTGTGCGTGTTATACGATCGGTCGTGGACCTACATTCACGTGGGTAGCCATGTTTGAAAACTCGCGTCCCGCTGGAATGTAGCCTGCTGGGGCCCCTTCGTTGATTTCCCCTCTTTCTCCTTCCACAATGCCGCCCTATACGTTCTACAGTTCAAAGCTCGACACAACGATGCTCGAACGCCTACCTTCGTCTCTACTAGTCCCTCTGGAGTCCTCTTCTCTGTTCTTCTTTGCTCTCCTATGGTTTTCCCTTCTATCAGTCCTTCCTCCCGCTCCTTTCACCTCCTCGGCGCTCCATGCTTGGCGCCCCAAATGGTCGCGTAACCAGAGACGCGCCTCTGGCCTGGCCTGGCTTGGCCTGGTCGCGCCAGACTTCTCGGCGCCCAAATGATGTACGCCGACCATTCTCTTTCCCTCTTTCTCCTCCATGTTCGTTTGCTTGAGATCTGTAGCCTTCGCTTTCCTTGCTCTCTTTTCACGCACTTGTACTTGTTCTGTGTGTATGTGTATGTGCATACGACAAAGGATAGAATTAACGGATTGAGAGTAAGAGTGAGCGAGATAAGTGTGCTTCTATTTACCACTGCCTTGACTTGCGACACCTCACCTTTGAATTCTATGTACTGTACTACTCATATGGCCCTTACCTACCTTACTTATGCGGCAAAAGCCACGTGAGAATGCGAATGTGAAAGAAAAGGGTGTTACGATCATAATTCTTTGCAAAAAACGCATTAGACGGTTCTTTCCGCTATCCTTGTCTGTTACTTGAACATAGAGGTATCTTTCAAGGGTTCTTGGCGAGACAGGCTGTCGTCTATGATACTTATTTTGTTCAAACGATTGATTAAATCTTGTCTGAGCTGAAACTGTTCATGTTTTCATATAATTGGCTTCTGTTCAATGTATAATATTAGTTTGTTATGTATTTATTACAACACGTTTCAAGCGAATTTCTATTAAATTGTTTTATTATTCTATTCGATCAATTATATCTTCGTTTATCTTTAAATATCATACAATCATTTTATGTATATCATACAATCAAATTTAGAGGAAGAAATATTAAAATAATATACATTATAGTATAATATATATAATAATTAGTCATAAATGATACAAAAAAATAACAGTTAAATATGTACTTAAGCTCTTTTGTCCAGAATGAAGAGCACTTGCTAAAATTGCAGACCCGAGTTTATAACTGAAGTTTATTTACGTACATGCTAACTGGGAGAGCGCCACACGTGCATCAGTGCATATAGTTCCATTGCTGTGTATTAATGTTTGCATTGTATACGTTATCTTTTGTATATGTGAATGTATATGTGTTTGTACTTTAATCACATAGATATATTGTAATAGATTACATGCATATATGAATTCCGTCATTGTATTTTCAATATTAAATTTTATAATCTGAAAACTTTAAAAAATGAAATGCAATGTGAATTTGAAATATATCAATGATACAGCCTTGATTAACAATATATATACAAAAGTTAAGCGTCATAATCGCATCGTTTGCCCACGTACGGATGCAGAAATATACCTTCTCCGTGGGCGGTCACACGATGGCGCCTACTCGCGCATACCTGCGCATACCTGTAGACTAGGCTAACCTCGCAAAAAGAAACTCTCATTTCATCGAGATTATTCGATTCATTCGTTTGCACAATCCATTCGCTTTTTCACGATATTGTGAAGACAAAGAAGAAAAAAGACGAAAAAGAAAAGAGAAAAAGAAAAAAGAATGCATAGAAAGAAAAAGCATTATCAGAAACGAACGCAAGGATCGAAGTGCACACGAATAAAGCGAAATACAACAACGCCTACGTTTGCGATTTCACGAGAAACGTACACATGCTAACCTTTATCTTATCATTGGCGAAGGCGTATCGAGGTTGACGAGGTTGCCATACGTTTGCTTTTGGTACGACGATGAAAGACAACGACGACACGGATGATCACGATTCCAAACGATTACTAGCATCTTTCATACTTCGTTTCCGCGAAAACCTTGAATTCAAACACGGGATCGTTACGGGTGTAGTCTCGCTCTGACCTCGTTGTCCACTACGTCGCGATTTGCTTTATCGACCGAGTAGTAAAAAATTAAAGGCTTAAAAAGTTGCGCATTATCCGCTTTATCGACATTCAAACGTCGCTTTTAATCAGATTCTTTCATTGAATTTTTTTTTCTTTTCGTGATTTATTGAGATTATTTAATTATTTGTATTGTTATATTGGTGCATTTATATTATTTCTATTAAAATATACTTATTCTTCTATCAAATGAAACTTTTCAAATTGTTCAAATTATTTTAATATTCATAAATGTGTTTTTAGTTCTCAAATTGGATTAAAACCATAAAGTTTATTGTGGCCAATGATATTCATTGCTGTTCAAATGATTCAGTCGTTTCATTGGTATTGCAAAACCTCTTTTAACGAGCGACTGAAAATATTTATCATTTAGATAACCGCTGTCTTCGAGGGTCGAGAGCAGTTAAATTTGTTATCGATTAATGCTAGCCTTTGAAACCTCATTAAAACATGACTCGTCATCGATATATACTTCTGCAGAACATTTAGAATGCAACGTTAATTGCAATTTTTTTTCCAATTTTTTCCAATCATTGATAAATATGAATGTTTTTTTTTTTTGCTTAATTTACCTAATACTTATCTAATAAATTTGAAAAACTAACATTACTATACAACCATCTTCAAAATTTTTTTGATTAATGCAATTGCAATCTATTTTTAAACGAAAATGCCGCAATTATTTTTATCTAGAGTCAACTGACTATTCATCGACAGTAAACGTATCAAGTGATTCATATTATTACTTGTCACAATAATAAACGCATACACGTGCATCTTCAACACGCGCTCTTATACAGATTTGAGTTCGAATTGTTGGATGTCGACCAATTATTTCAATTTGTTTACGCGTCTGATTGTTCAGCTCATCGACGATTACTGATAACAATCTCGAGTTGCATTTTACCAGAATTTTATAAAATCGTATGATGAGAGTTTGCGCAATGGAAATACATTGATAATAATATCAATTATCAAATGGAAAGAAAAGGAAATAAGGTGTTTTCAAAAAATTGATCTTCGTTTAATTATTAAAACATTCACGTACATAAATAGAGTACAAGTGATATTGATGCGTGTATGTATATCTTCATTTCAATACTTATTACGATCCAATAATATATACATTTATTTTTTTTTTTCATTTTTATCTTTGAGAATTGATTTACAAAATTCATTTTAATCATTACTCCGATAAATGCAAGTAAACAGGAATAGTTGAAGATATCATAAAGAAAAACTTTATAAATAATTATTTGTATTTGTTCCAACTATTATTCCTTTTATATTCTTTTTTGATACTTATCATGTAAAGCAATATTTAAATGATATTTAATGCAATTTATACAAAAATATGATTACTGTCGCTATTATGTATTTTATGATTGTGTTTCTTGCTACTATTCTTCTTCTGCATTACGAGACGTTACAAGATTACGATCAATTATAAACATATGTTCCAATCAAATGTCACATGTCCTGTTCCAATTAGATAAGATGTGAATGATTGATATTATCATTTATTTTAACAATGATTTTTTAATTTACATTTATTTGTATCAATCATTTTTATGTGATGATATAAATCTAACGACTAATAAATATAAAAATTAAAATTTGATGAGACTTGGATATATAATTATTTTGATATAAAATTTCTTGAAATGTGTGAATCTAATAATTCCGGAAAAATTGTTTTTCTTACAATTCATATCAAACAATCAGCATTTTAATTCTTGTTAGATGATTTTATATATTAATCTTCCAATTGCAATATTAAATTTGCCATAGTTTTTTTCTCCTCGATAATGATTTTTCAATCAAATTCAATAAAAACATGAAAGATAGGATTTTGGAGCTATCAATAGAAACACCATTTTTCTTCACGTAGCTGAAGATCGAATCTATTAAATCGTGACGAAAAAAAAAATTCTCTCTTTCTCTCTCTCTCTCTTTCTCTCTTTCTCTCTCTCTCTCGTTCGTTCTTTCATTTCTTTTTTCTTCTTTCTACTTATGCTTACATGCTCCGTTTATTTTCTACCTTAAATGCTAGTTGTATCGTTAGAAACGTTAGTGAAGCGTGAACCTTTAAATATCGCTAGTCTTGATACGGGTTACAAGTCGATTTCCGCGGAGTAAAAAATGTGGCCAGGGCTGTGCCGGACGATAGTTGATCGAGGGGTCATTTATCTCGCCGGCAACGACCTGGAAAGTCATCCAGAGGTTAATATGCAAAGCGTATGAAGAGAAGGAGAGAGTAAGTTGCTCGTTCCACCTCGTTCTCCTTGCAACCCGATCAGAAATAGCCCTTAAGAGATAAGACAGTTAGCAGTGTCTAAAAATGTCCTTAAATAAAGTGTACTTATTACAACGTTTGTCGTCAGGGTGTCCCTGGTTGCTCTTAGAGAAAAGAACGTAGTTAATCGCGGATCGGGGAACAATTTTTTTTCCGTCCAATCGACGAAATGCCACGATCAGATTCATTTTCGTTTTTTTTTTTTTTTTTTTTTTTTTCTCGATACGAGGAAGGCGATGTCAAAAGAAAATATCCATTCCGATACACATAAAACTTTCGACAATTGCTCTCGAGAATATTTTTTTTCGTGGAGCAATACATTGAAACCTTCAATCTCTCGATATAATAAAAATTAGAATAAGTCTTGAGAGCAATTATCGAGAGTTTTACACCGAAACGTATTCGCATATTCTATTTATTTTACTTTACCACAGTTTCATCGTCCTCGAGAAAATCAATGTTCCGCGACTCGCTACGAAATATTGCACGCAAGATCCCTGCGATCTTCGACCCATGCGATCTAAAAGATCCGATATGTACGATAAATATTATGTATAAATGAATGGAATGTCAGATGTAAAATGTGTAAGTGTAGAGCTTAAGTCCCATAATATATTCTGAAACCAATGTTGTTTGCCTATATTTATCCTTGTCTACGAAATCGATCCTCAATATGTATGTAAAATTTAATCCCCCTTACGAAGCGTTGCACAAGTGGCAAATCTCGTGATCCTCGTCACTTGCTCACATCGTCGAAATTAAATTTAAAATTATATTTAAAGTGTTCTATAATGAGTATGCTTTTATCATAGTCAATCAGAAAGATTTTTTTCGGAGTGTTGCACAAGCGGCTTGTGACTTCCGCCATGTGCAAGATCCCGATATCTAAACGATACATCCTCCATATTTTTTTAGGGATACCCCCTATTTTCTCACTTTCAATTCAATTTTCCTTCGTTAAGATTACACTTGAGAGATTCTTCGAGGATAAGGGATATCTGTATTACGATTAATTCAATTGCTTGTTTTCTCGCCTAATGTGTAGTAAATAATAAGTCCCCGATGATAAGCATCGCGATAAATCCGAAACCGCAATATCTGAGAATATGTACGTACGATGTAGTCTGCGCGGAAAAATGGACGCTTATTGCACGGCTCGACTCCCCGCTTCCTGGAACCAGTGTTTCGCGCGAAACGTGAGTAATATCGAGAATGACGGTGCGAAGTCGTAATTTTTCCACGCGTCTACACGAACACGTGTCTCTCGGGTTCATCGCGTGCAAGTCTAGTAACACGTTAACGACGCGTTACGCGAGGTGAGTTTTGCACTTTATCCGTAATTTTTCTGGTCGCTACTCTTGTCACCAGCCGAGAGATTCTCGGTGAGCCTTGGGCCACGGCGGGAAATCTTCAGGGCATCATTTTGCGGGGTGACAACCATTTCTTCATGTAGTAACAAAAGATCGTGGAAATGTAGATGAGGACAAGCAGGGCACACGTCACGCCCAGAATTAATACCGAGGTCTTTGTTGGACAGGGCTCCACAATGGTCACCGTTTTGTCTGGGAAATAAGATTGAAATATTTTTTTTTTTTTTTTGTTGCTCGCGATATAACGAGTTCTGGGTAATTGAAGTAATTACCGGCTTCGTTGAAGTCTATGCTGGCGTCACTCTTCAAGAAGTCAGACTGTTTCTCGTCACCAAAATCGAGAACAAGGATTTCCTGAGACAACGTCATATCCTCTGCTTTTTCCTCCGTCGCGTTTGCGAGACTTCTTCGACGCCTCTTGCCCCATGACTCTACCGATTCTCGTCCCCATTCGCAGACAGCCTGTGATCAATCAACATTCTCATATTTTTCATCGACGAAATGATTATACAGATTAACCTGGAATTTGTTCAATTACCGGTTCGCACGGTCCTAGACAATACTTGACGTTACATTGGAAAATAACACCGTAAGACTCGGTGAATCTGAATGCTTCGTAGACAGATTGAAGCGCGTTTCCATCAGGCGTGAAGCTTGGGAAGATCGACGGATCCACTGGGCATCTGGAAGGTTCGAAAATTCATCCATTTAACCAATTATCGATTCGATAATTGTTAGAATAATATTTAAGAGATACACAAATTCCCAACCCTTCATCATCGATGATCTGGAAGGTACTCTTCGAGTCCTTTGCCATGGCGACGCAACTTCGAGCAAAGATTCCATAGGGAGCTATGAATTTGAAATGGTTAATATATTATGAAAATATTCATCTTGATATTAAATCTAACACTTACTGTCTTCCGGGATTTCGATTCTGAATGTCAGCTTGTCTCCGATACGGACAGTCTCAACTTCTCTGGATCTGCTGTCGAGGATGCGTATCCTTGGTGGAGGGGCTTCCGGCGCGCTGGTGATGCTGATCATTTCCGGGTCCCTGATAGGCATCATGCCAAAAGTGATGTTCTTCGAGGACATGTCGTACGTGCACTTCACCTTGTAAATTTTGTCGGCCTTGGTCATCACAACGGAATGATGCTGGAGGACGACCGTGTTCGAGTAGATACCAGTCTGAAAACCGTCACGCTGCCATAGTGAACAGAGAGTTTGAACAGGATTTAACAAGTCGAGCGGATAAATTTTGCCAGAGTGTCAACTCTGTATGATATTACAATCACTTACCACACTCTGAGTGTTACAATCCTGCCCGCTCATGGTCAAGTCGAGCCTGAAGAGATCGCTATTGATAACATCGATGTTGCAAGTTTCAGAGCGGCCAAGGGCGTAAATGCGACCGTTAAAAGGCTTATTCGTACGAACTTGAACGGCTATTCGGGTGTCTTTACAGTCAACCGATACTGCAATTATATTTTATTTCTTTATTGACAGGATTTCACTAATGAAAACGGTTTCTAAATTATTCGTTTATTGATCGGTTAATGGCGAAGTCTAATGATAAACATACGTACCGTCGTAGCAGGTACCAGTTTTATCGCAATTTATGTCGTTTCTCGTGAGATTATTTATGGTAGGGTCTTCCGTAGTTTCAAAGACAACTGGTGGATCCGCAACTGGGCCTGTACCTTCTGAAAATCCGATTCGACGTGTCAAATAGCATATACATGTACATAACATCTGTTTTATTTAAATAAGATGCCTTTTGAGAAAAGAAAAATGAAAAATATTGTTGTATTATAATAAAAAATAAGAAAAGTATGAATAACAAAGTATCGTTTCTTTTATATATCTTAAGTCTTTTATAT